AGGTTGGATGGGGCCCTGGGCAGCCTGGGCTGCTATGAAATGTGGAGGTTGGTGGCCCTGCCTGTGTTGGGAGGGTCAGAGCTTCATGATCCTTGAGGTCCCTTCCAGCCCAAGCCATTCTATGATTCTATGATTCTATGATCAGGTTTTACTCTGCAAGATGACATCAGTAAAACCCCTGGCTTACTTCAAAGTTGAATCCTTCTTTAAGTGCAATTGCCCTCAAAATTTTTGAGGAAACCGTGGTCGCAAGCATGTAAACATTCTTCACATCAGCATCTTTGGAGCAGTTTTCCTTCCAGCGAGAAAACATCCACCAACCAAACAACGCCGCCAGTTCGTTGCCAGTGAACACCTTCCAGCAGCCACTGCAGACAGCACAGAAAAGAGCTCTTTCAGGTTTTCCCAGAGGATTCAAGCAGGGAGAGACATTTTCTGTAGTCACTGCAACAACAGGAGTCTGAGCACACTACTGACAAGCTGCTCTATACAAAGCCATCCTACCAAGACGACTCCACATTTCTCACATCTCGATGATTTACAAGCCCACTGCATTCTGTTAGCAAGCAAAGGTACCCATTTAGTTACCTTAGTATCAACTTTCAAGTAGCTTAAGATCTTATAATTTACCAGTATAGCAATCTCTACTGTCTACACACTGCAGTCAGGCACTGCCTGAACAATAGGAAATTACTACTTACACAATTAGCAGAATTTTGGCCTGTTAGTGAAAGAAAAATAATTTCTACTCAATATAAAGAAGGCAGGAAGGAAAAAACAAGACACCATAACAGCTAGCTCTCCCAAAGCAGTATTTATTTGCCTAGTCTATGACAAAAAAGTAGATGTGAGGGTGGTGAGGCATCTGGAACAGGTTGCCCAAGGAGGCTGTGGATGCCCCATCCCTGCAGGCACTCAAGGCCAGGCTGGATGTGGCTCTGGGCAGCCTGGGCTGCTGGTTGGTGACCCTGCACATAGCAGGGGGTTGGGACTGGATGAGCATTGTGCTCCTTTGCAACCCAGGCCATGCTATCATTCTATCATTCTATGAAAATACCCACAGAGCAAAGTCACAACAGGAAGGTGTGCCTTTAAGGTGCATGTCTTTGGGGCACAGCAATTTTCACAACCTGTTCTCCATGAAGAGATAAAACAGAAGGTCCCCTTACTTACTTCTGCTGCTCTGCCACTGCCAGTCTGTCTGCATCAGGATCAGTGGCCACGACTACTTTAGCATTTTCCCTCTCTGCAAGCCTCAGTGACAACTCCTAGTGGGAGAAGAGGGAGGGGAAAAAATCACAGAACCAAATAAAGGGAACCAAATCACAGAACCAAAATCAGGACAAGGGGAAATGGTTTGAAGTTGAGGGAGGGAAGATTGAGGTTGGATGTCAGGGGGAAGTTGTTTGCTGTGAGAGTGGTGAGGTGCTGGAACAGCTGCCCAGAGAGGCTGTGGATGCCCCATCCCTGGAGGTGACCAAGGCCAGGTTGGATGGGGCCCTGGGCAGCCTGCTGTGATATTAAATGTGGAGACTGGTGACCCTGTATGTGGCAGGAGGGTTGGAGCTTCATGATCCTTGAGATCCCTTCCAACCCTGGCCATTCTGTGATTTTGTAAATGAATTCTTGCTCTTAAGTTACACATAACATGCAAAAACAACCCCAAGATCTCATACAGATGGCTAGATGAGTTTAACACAGCTCAAAGCCAGGTACTCTCTGTGCCTTCCCCAATCTGTTTTTCATGAAGGAAAGTCCATAAGAACACATAAATGAGACAAAGCAGAAAATGAAATACCAGCACAGATTCTCCTTCTTCAGGATTTGGGCATTTGACAGTAGAGAAGTCTGGATCTGGATCTTTCTGTTCAGGTACAGGAATGGGAGGTTGAAAGCCAAATGCCTTGAAAGCCCATTGCACATAGTCATGTCCAACTCCATGAAATGAGGTGTGAACAAACTTCAAATTTGTCTGCATGTTTAGCTCCCTGATAAGGAAAGAAGAAATTCAGTAAGGCTGCAGTTACTTTACCAGACTACTTTTATGTAGGAAAGGACAAACTAAAGAAAAGGCAATTACACTTGATCCTATTTGGCTAGTTTCTACAATAATTTCAATGAAAAAATGAGTTTTGCTAGAAACTGCTGGTTTCGAGTTTCTCATCCCTTAATACAAGATATTTACCTACTGCTGAGCTGGCTGAAAATCCCCCAGGGATGAACTATCCTTTTCTGCACCAAACTCCTTCTTACTGCAGATCTTACTGCAGCTCTATCTTGTCCTCTTCCTCCTCCTCCTTTTACCCACCTCTGTCCCAACTAACATTTAAACTTATCCATCCCCTTCCGCTTCATGCACCATCACTCTGAACCACTGCATTTTCTTCACAACCCTTTGAGCATTAAATAAAATGGTTCACATCAAGGTGAACTATTGTAGCCTCGTGTTCCAAGGCAGTGACCAGACTTGTGCCTGAAGTTGGGTGCTTTATTGTCCTGAAGTAGGGTTCAGGCCTAAAGAAGACAACCGTTTAATGTAATGACACATCAGGGAAGGGATGGGGTGAGACAGAATGGGGACTGAAGATTCCTACCAGCAGGAGGAGGACAGGACAACAGCCTCAGGCAGGCAGTGATGTTTGTGACAGAGCAGAGCACTCAGCTTCTGTGAACCACAAAGACTTAAAAACGTCATTTAAGAACATTTCATTCCATACTACACCTGTGGTAGCAGATCTTTTTCAGATCCTCCATATAAGAGTCACAGATTTTCTTCAGAGGATCCTGCCTAAGAGGACTGGTGTCTACAAGGTTCTCGTTCCAGGAGCCATTCCATGGTTCAACACACTCCTCAATGCATTTTATGATTTCCTTATCATGAGGGGATTTGATCTGAGCTCCATTTTCCCAATAGACCTGGTAGGAGTTTAAGGAAAACACGACACAGTTTATTCACAAAGACTACTGATTTCATAAATACTCTTAGCTATAGGATTCCACACACTGCCTGCTTCAGACTGGCCCAGCTCTTAGATAGGACAAGGGGGAATGGTTTTAAAGTGAGACAGGGGAGGTTTAGGTTGGATATTAGGAGGAATTCTTTCAGCCAGAGGGTGGTGAGGCACTGGAACAGGCTGCCCAAGGAGGTTGTGGATGCAGGCATTCAAGGCCAGGCTGGATGTGGCTCTGGGCAGCCTGGGCTGCTGCTTGGCGACCTGCACACAGCAGGAGGTTGGAATTAGATGAGCATTGTGCTCCTTTGCAACCCAGGCCATTCTATCATTCTATAATTCTATGATCATTTGGAATCCCCGCTCATGACTGCAGTCAAAAAACAATAATTTTTAAACAAAACCATCTTTTATTCAGACAAAGTTGTTCAGTTGCTACGACTGAAATCATCAAGACATGAGAAATTCAGACTGGGAAACACACCGTGCTGCACAAAGTGAAGCAGAATAGAAGCAGTGCCTTCTGCACAGCCTGTCATTCCTTTAGAAAAAGCAGCACAACTTGTTTCTGAAGTCGAAGCAGAACAGATAAGCACTGTGCCAAGGTGCATTTTTCCCATAACTGAACAACTGCAATCTTTCAGCTAGAAATGCTACCAAACCTGAGCTAAAAAAAAAGCCATTTTTTGTTGCAGACATTGTTGCAGACTGATCCAGATGCCTGTTTCCCTATAGTTTGTTTCCAATAGCACGGCTGCCTTCTCTGTGCAGACCTTCTACTCAGACTATCCTGTCCCTCTTTTGATGGTACTCATTATCTCCAAAAGTACAACCCTGTCAAGCTGTCCAAAACCTTCACAAGTTGCTGATGGGTGATATACTGAAGATGAAACAGTTTTTGTGAAAGACTAGAAAAACAAAAAAGTAAAATACTTTGCCTCTAAAGACAGAGACATGATAGCTTCTCAATAAGCTAACTGCTTGGAAAACTGGCATTGCTTGTTACATCCAAGCAGTGTAAATACTGAAGTAGACACAGTACACGTGCAGTGCAGCCACCTGCAGGAGCTCTCTGTACACAGTCAGACTGTTTTCCTATTATTGCCATTCCTCACCAAGCTGCTGCTGAGCAGAAGGCTGATTTTAATTAAAGTTTAGAATTCAGTTTAGATTCTTAAAAAGCTAAGCAATGAAATCATGTGCTACTTGTTATGATGGGTGGTTTGCTCTTCCAGGCTTTGAGAATAAAGCCACCTACCTGTCTGTCACTGCCCAGGTAACACAGTCTTGCAGGGAACACACAGAGCTTTATTAATCAGCAATAAACTGCTGTCACCTGCTGTGTTTTGGACACGGTTAGTGGGCATGGTGAGGATGGGTTGACAGTTGAACTTGATGATCTTAGTGACCTCTTCCAACCTTAATGATTCCATGATTCTGATTCACATAAGTTCTAGCTCCGTTTGAAATTTGTTTTTAAACCTAAGAGGTGAGCAGATAATAAAGGGCCAAAGTATCCTCCCAGCTGCTGATTTGACTCTATGGAATGTCACAATGCACTTGTGTTCCAGACACACAAGCTTTAATGGTTTTTAGTTCTAGTCTCAGATGAAAATGCGTGTCATTCAAAAGGTTAGAGAAGGATGAGTTACTTGAAATCACATTTCCTTCTAATGTGCACATACAAATACTTCAGAAGAAGCCAAGATTCCTCCTAGAACATTGAAAGTATGCAAGTAACATGGAAAGCAGCTGGCTGCAATGTGCTGCAAGCTTCAGGGCTAAGCCTTACCTTGTACCCATTGTCCTCCTTCCTGTTGTGGGATGCTGTGATCATTACACCAGCGACAGCTTTGAGCTGCTGAACAGCATAGGGCTAAAAAAGAAACCCAGAAATGGTGACTTACCCAAGCATTCTGCAGTTGGCAGAAGGATGGTATGTTATTAGGACAGTTATTAGGATGCTAGAGGAGAAATAGCTCAACATCCACCAGCTTATTTGAAAAGTGTATAAACAAATGCTCATCAATCTGCTCTCTGAAGTTGGTAACAGAGAGAAAGCTTGTTCAGAACAGTGCTGTTTTGTTGCATGGCAACATTATTCCCAACTCCATAAACACCACTGTTAAATGGCCAACAGCCATTTAATGCAGAAAGCCTACATTTAGGTCACTCCTGTACTGAGAAAGAAAATGAAAAGAAGACAATGACTCACCACAAAGGGCGTAGGGACATATGTTGAAAAGAAGTATACAGGTACATCTTTAGCCAGCAGGACTGCTGCAGTGAGCTTTGCAAGTCTACCAACGACATGAAACAGAAAATATTCAGTCAACCCAACTCCCACGACAATGCAACAGCCATAGGGCATTACTCACATTTTCATTTTGCTTATTTCTTAAATCCTTGTACTGTTTTATTTTGTTTTCCCTTCATTTCATAAAGTCAGTGTAACCATTTTTGGGCTGTAGAATTGGACAGAGCACTTTCATTTGCTGCTTGAAGGGCATAAGGCACTTCAGTCATGTGAATAAAGCAGTGATATCAAGAAAAGGTACAGAGCCTTCTGGTGTGGGACTTGTCCTTAACTCAAGGACCAAAGTGAGCTCCCAAAAACATGAAAATGCTAAATCCAGAAACAGAATCAGTATTTTTAAACCTTGCCTTTGTATTAAACTCGTCCTCCCAAGAAGCAGGGAAACTCATTCTCTTTTACATAGCAATTTGAAATGAAGCTGCTCTTTTCAAGGCTGCTCAGAAATTAACAACAGGAACTCCTGTTCAAGGGGAAAACCAATGAGAGATGAAATTTCAAACATCCTTGCTCACTTATTTTTACAAACAAGCATTAACCATTGCTTCCATACCTTCCCATGACGAGTATACATTTCAGGTACTCAGAATTTCACTATAGCTTTTACCAAATGAAACCTGATATCACAGAAGGGAATTTGAGAGCTAAACTTCTAGCTGAAGGCACTGAAATTTTGCTCCTGTAACAGAATAGCTTACATCAACTTCATTATGGGATACCATCAGGAGAGCTGCCATCTCCTTCGACACTGGAAATGATGCAAGAAAAACACAGCATCACTCACACAGCGTGGGGTGAGCAGGCTGAGTGGACTGACAGCCCTTTTTGGGGGAGGTTCAGATTGATTTTAGAACTATTGTTAAGTGCATGTCAGCTCAAGGGGAAGAAGGAAACACAACGGAGAAATGTTTGCTCCTTCAGCATGTGAAACATGGAGACTGTGCTGCATCAAGTCTGAATTCCGTGTTGGTGAGGCTGAAAAGGAATGTTTTTAGCCCTGCAGAGAAGGACCTGGGGGTCCTGGTGGATGAAAAAGTGAACATGAACCAGCAGTGTGTTCCTGCAGCTCAGAAAGCAAATGGGATCCTGGACTCCATCAGAAGAGGGGTGGCCAGTGGGACAGGGAGGTGATTGTCCCTCTCTACTCTGCCCTCGTGAGGCCCCATCTGCAGCACTGCGTCCAGGTATGGAGTCCCCAGTATAAGAAAGACAGGGAGCTGTTGGAGAGGGTCCAGAGGAGCCACAAAGATGATCAGGGGGCTGCAGCACCTCCACTACAAACACAGGCTGAGGGAGCTGGGCTTGTTCAGCCTGGAGAAGAGAAGGCTGCAGGGTGAGCTTGTTGCAGCCTTCCAGGACCTAAAGGGAGCCTACAAACAGGAGGGGAGTCAGCTCTTGGAAAGGGGAGATAACAGCAGGACAAGGGGAAATGGTTTGAAGTTGAGGGAGGGCAGATTTCAGTTGGATGTGAGGGGGAAGTTGTTTGCTGTGAGAGTGGTGAGGTGCTGGAACAGCTGCCCAGAGAGGCTGTGGATGCCCCGTCAATCCCTGGAGGTGTTCAAGGCCAGGTTGGATGGGGCCCTGGGCAGCCAGGGCTGCTGTGAAATGTGGAGGTTGGTGGCCCTGCCTGCGGTGGGAGGGTTGGAGCTTCGTGATCCTTGAGGTCCTTCCAGCCCAAACCATTCTGTAATACTACGATTCTGTGGTTTTCCTCATACTTCCACATTTTTAAACAGTGCATAATCCAGGCAACCTGGCTGGCAGCCTTGCACATGCAAAGCAGCAGGTATGTTTAAAGACCTCATGCCAAAGCATGCTGGATAACACACTGCATGTATCTAACAGTCAGAAGGAAAGGTGAGGAGACGCAGGATGTGGGGAATAGAAAACTCTTAGAAGGCAGCTGCTTCCTGAAGAGCAACTGGATTCTGTGCTGTTACACCTTCTCCAAATATCACTCTGAGCTTATCAAGCTTTTGATGTCTGCATGGTGTTCTCGTGCATTTAGACTGCAAACTGTAGTGAAGCAACCAGGGTTCCTGCAATAACAAGGGCTCAGTCTGTGCTTCTTCTCATTACTATTTAAATGGGCTAAGGGAGGGGAAAGTGAGCACACTTCGTAACACAAAACTGTTCTGATGGAAGGGAATGCATTCAAAGCCACAGTTTCATTTCTAGTCTTGCAAATGTAATCAATACTCATACTTCTTACTGCTGCAGTTGCTGGTCACCTGACCTCGTGTGTCATATCCAACAACAAAGCCTCTCTGCTTAAAGTCTGAAAAACACCTCTCAAGATACTTGTAGATGCCCTGGAAAGAAAAAAAAATGAGAGAAAAAAAAAAGGAAGAATTAGCTCTAGTGTCACATACTTAAACATTAAAGATGTTTACATAAACATTAAAGATGTTTTCACATACAGAGTAATGTCAGTTAATTCAGAAAATACAGCTCAGCAAGAACAGCGATATTCTTGTGTTCACTCTGCAGCTTCTTGTATTCAAACCATCTTTTTAAAGACCCAACAGATAAAAATCCATTATTTTTTTCTAAATCCATCCACCCACACTGCAAGGACAGTGTTGGTCAACATCTGTCTTTGTCCCTGTGCTCCCAGCACAAGCCAGGCATCTCTTCAGCACCGAATGCTCGTCCTACATATCTAACCTTGCATTAAAAGGATGCTTCATCCTTACCCATTTTTTCAAAAGATAGTTTATTGCTGTTGACCTGCCCCATTGAAGTCACTCACTGGCAATCACTACACTGCAGCACAAACACAAGCTGTCTCCTGTACATCACAGCAGAGCATTTCTAATGGCAATTTATCAGGGAAGACCCCGGGGGTGAGTAGATGGAGGAAGTATTAAGCATAACTGCATTAAAAGCAATTCTTTGATGTGTCCTTCTGTAGATCTGACCTTTGGGACTACCAGCAAGCTTTAAATCATGAACCTAGTCTGACTTCAGCACAGGAAGGATGTGGAGCTCTTGCAGAGGGTCCAGAGGAGGGCATTAAGATGATCAGAGGGCTGGAGCAGCTCTCCTATGAGGAAACGTTGAGGGAACTGGGCTTGTTGAGCTTGGAGAAGAGAAGACTCTGGGAAGACCTCATTGTGGCCTTCCAGTACTTGAACAGGAGGGGGAACGGCTGTTTGTGAGGTGGATGGTGATAGGACAAGGGGGAATGGTTTTCAAGTGAGACAGGGGAGGTTTAGGTTGGATATGAGGAGGAAGTTTT